CTTCGACTGGATAAAACACTCTAAACTCTCAATCAGAGACAGAAGGCATGCAGGAGATCGAGTGAGAAACAGGTTTAACAGCAAAGACTGATCATTTAGAGGCCTCTGCATATCAAATATGATCGCTCAGCTGTAAGGTTTGCTCATGAATCTGGTTCTCCAGGGTTCCCACGCTCGCCGTCTGGGGAGGAGTTGGAGGTGTTGCTCTCGTTTACTTCACCGACTGGAGGCTCATCTTGGACTACGTTCCCTACATCAACGGAAAGTTCAAGAAGGATGATTAGACGAAGGTTTGTCATGTTTACCTCTATTTAAACTTAAGACTTATTTTCATAATACACTACTGTATGATATGAAAACTTGTTTTTTTTACTGCTCAAACAACAAAAACTAAATGGATTTGAGTCATTTTTGCTCCAAAAAATTGTATTTTTACTGCTTGTCGGAACGAAGACAAAGTGACTTTTCGTTCACTGCTGCTGTCTTTATTCGCCGCCTGTTACTTACATCGCTCTCCTTCTTCCTGTAGGTCAGTCCTGCAGGAGTTTAGATGTGTTGAAGATGGAGATGTTTGTCACTGTTGGAGATGAAGACAACATGCATCCATCAATCCATCTTTCCCTCGTGATTGTTTTTCAGTGTGGCTTGTACTCATGAAAAGAGTAAAGTCCCACGATCAAAATCTAATGGTTATAAAGCTGTAAGTCCGGGATGTTTTCTATGTTTCTATAATAAAGCTTCATCATTTGTTTCCACTGAATCCACTGAACGTCATCGTGGACCTGAACTCTGCTTTTTAATTCTGTCGAGATCTCCTCCTCATCTGTGGGTTACTGGTGATGCTTGTTAATAAATCAAAGAAAATGAGTTTGAGGTGTTTGTTATGCTTTATGATCACCTGGTATACATATGCACGACTTTACCAATATGAATGTGTGTTTACATGAGCCTGGTTCCTAAATGTAATTAAATAATTGTTTTTTATTTTCAGTTAAGATCTTGGATTCATGTGCATAGGTTTTTGAATCAGGCTTCAAATCTTCGTGTTATTTATATCATTGATATGCAATTGTTTTTTGTAATATATATTTTTATTTTACATTTTTAGTCATATTGTTGTATGTCTTTTTTTAAAGTTTATTTAGTTTTAGTATTTAAACTGAACACAAAAAGAGAAATATTGCCTTTGCGACTAGCTGAAATAAAATGCATTAGTTTCTTTTTTTAATTACATTTTTATTACCTTTGATGTTATTTATTTTTGGTTTTATTTAAATGTTTGTTTGATTTAGATTGGTCACTATATATAATGAATTTAGATTACTGGTCTTTAAAAATATACTTTAGAAGTTTTTGCGTCTTTTAAACTTGATATGAATAACTTTCTTGACACAGTGAACCGATTCAAACCGAACAGAAAGATCCGATTCTACGAGTCATAATCCATCACTCAACTTTGTTAAACAACAATCGACTCTGAAATTGCTACAGACCTCCCGAGGATTACAGCAAATATGTTGTCATTGATTTTTTTCTAGTTAAATAAGGATTTTTGACGTATTTACCTCTGCGCAGATAAATGAACTGCGAGTCGACTCTCGGTTCAGAGAGTCGTGAGTCAGAAGCTCGTGAGGCGAGCGGATCGAGAGCAGCGCCAGCGGCCGCCTTTAACCCTAAACATCCACAGCTTTTCCTCCAGAGACTCCGGGAGAAACATGGAGAAGAAAAGGTGGGAGTGCTCGGCTCTCCCAAATGGTTGGAAAAGGGAAGAAGTGACCAGAAAGTCGGGCTTGTCCGCGGGGAAAAGTGATGTCTATTATTTTAGGTACTGCAGCGGGATTAGCCAGCGAGCCGAGACAAAAAACTGCCTTTATATATTAGTTAACAATCTCTAATCCGACCTCAATCGGCTATCTGAGTACTCTAGTGCGTTATTATTCCAGATTATCGTTGTTTGTCGTGCGTACGTGAAACTAACCGTGTTTTGGCGTCTCGTGCGAGTTAGCACTGAGCGCTAATCTGCGCTAGCAGCCATGCTAACTCATTGTTTTGGTTCTGTTGATCTAGTTTAACTATTGTTTTGTTCTAGTTTAAATTGAACGAATATTTCCA